ATAGAGAGAGGCCTGAGCATATCCCTAGGGGCCTTTAGACAGCAAAGATGGACATTTTCAGGATCCCAAAGTGACTGGGATACCAGTGTTGTTGTTTGAGGATGTAAGTGAAATGCTGGTGCTCCTTTGTTTATTAGAATTAACCGGGAGTAAGTAGTTCTTCTTACTATTGTTCATATTACAGTAGAACCTGGAGGCCCCAGTCATGATCAGGGCACTGTTATGCTAGGGGATACCTGCTCCCTGCTCTGAAGGGTTTATAGTCTAACTTGAGACAGGAAACAATCATTAAATATAATAAACAAGAGAAGGGAGGAAGGACGGGAGAAATAGTGTTCAGATAGGGCAACGGTGCATTCATTGATAGTTCTGAGTCACTTGACGGTCACGCCACTCTCCATTTCTCCTTTATAAATAAATGAAGTCCGCTGTCTCTGGCTGCCATTCATTCCAGCCCTTGCTGCTTGGCTGACTTCTTGTAGGCATCACAGCAGAAGTTGGTCTTGAGAATGCGTTTGGAAGGGATCAGTCATTATGGGCCCATCTTTACTCTAGTACAGACTTTCCGAAGTTCTGCATTTGCCGCAATGCATGGAGCTTCCGATACAACCCACATCAAAGTCCATAGGAGTCTTTTCATTTCATTTTGTGGGCTACAGATCAGGCCTGTAATGCCTTAGATGTTCCATAGATGCTATCAGAAGAATCTTTTAGAAAGCTTCAAACAAAGGTATGTGGAGATGCAGATTGATAAAAATTCTCTCCTCCACCTCTCTTTTACTTGGTCCACTTCCTGCTCATCAGCAATAATTCAGATAATTAAATTACCTAGTTGAGTAGTCTGAAGACACACGCTCAACAAGCTGACTATACGGAGATGCAGAATTTATTAATGTGCTATATTATTTTTCTGAAGTACTATATAATTAGACACCATGCTTCCACCTCAGGCTAACCTCTTCTTTAGAGATGGATACTGAAGACATTCATTAGGGTGACAATGCAAAATCATGTTAAGAATGCAGAGTACTTGGGACATTAAATTTACATGGCCCGTTGTCAGATTTAGTGGCACAGGAGTAATGGGATGAAATTAAGCCATGAATAAAAAACTGGACTCAGCAGCAAGAGGAATGTTTCAATTTATGTGATCTGTTATATTGTCCCATCCCAGCAAATGTGCAAGGAGCTTGAATGCGTGATACAGCCGTGTCCATAACTAGGCCTGTTCCTTACATTTCACCCTGAATAATTGATCTTTGCAGCATCCGTGTGTGATCTGTGTACGTTTGCTGCTATCAGGTGGAAATAGTCTTCAGAGAAACAGTGGAAATCCCATCACTCAAATCATTGAAACAGGTCAAAGTACTAGAAAATATCTAGTAGGAAATAATGGAATAGATGGTCTAATAGGTCTTTTTCCATCTCCAACTTCTGCAGTGTTTCTGATATTTCTTAAAGTTTGCCATAAAAGCAGAAGCAGGAAGGCCCTGAATTAAACTGTCTTGAATTTAAGTACCTTCTACTAGTTATACAGAATAATCTCCTGCCCGGCTGTACCCTTTATATCCGTTTTTTGCGTCTGTCCCCTTATCTTCCCTTTTTCAAACATCATTTTTCAAGTGACGACTTTTTGAATACACGGGTCAGCTTTCCCTCTTTCCCGCCAGTTTTCTACCTGTGTAACTCCATTGACTCCTGTGGATTTGCTTCTGCATTTCACTGATGTGACATTGTAGTAAGCTTCTTCAGAGAGCCAGATTTGTGACCTGCAGGGCATACCTGTGGTTCTTCAGGGCCAGGCTGCCAGCAAGGGTGGGAGGTTCTTCTCTCACTGCATTTTCCTTGGCTTTTTTTTTTTTAAGCTATTAGGAGAGAGGCCATAATGTGCTGAATGAATTGCTATCAAGGGACCATTGACACGAGTTCTAACAGAAATAAGCACATTATAAAATACAACAAAAATAGAGGCGTACACAAGCAACTTAATTCAGCTCTAGATCTGCTCTTTCCCAGTGTTTTCTGGGTTGCAGTGTCAGGGCTCCATTTCTAGCATACCCCAGGAAGCCCTGTCCAAAGAACTTGGGTGTAATCTTGGACAGAAGCTTGACTTTTAAAGCTCATCTGGAAAAGATATGTGAAAAGGTAAAAGGAAGGACTAGACTTGCCTGAAAACTCGCGGTACAGGGGTGCCGATGTGGGCACACTTTGAACCATGACTTCAGCACTGATACTCGACCGCTGGACATTACGCACCAGTATGGATGAGAAGCTCACATACCAAATCTCCGGCGCTGTGATGACAATCATAACTGGAACATTATCAACACCATTCAATGGTTGCCTCCACCCAAAATCTAGAGAGAGGCAGACACAGCCCAGGAATACACTGAACCTTGGCCAACCTGAATTTACCAATTCACCAGTGGCATCTGACAACAACAAGGACCTCCAGAACCTTCTGAAGACCTGTCTGAAATCTTGCAAGCCTAAAGCTCATAAAACTTTGTTATTCAATGTTGAGGCTCATTAGAAAGAATTCGGAGCTCATGCTAATGTACCAAGACACATCCGATTCCTAACTCCACAAAAGTGTTTCCAGGGGAGTTTGAAAGCTGGAAATACATAGTCAGCATTGAACCAATTTCAGAGAATCATGTGGCAGATGCTGTCATCTCTCTCACCTCTGGAACGTGAGACAACTTACAATGTGACTATAGACACAGAGATGGATTAAGCTTTTGTGGGGCCCTGGGCCAGAGCAAGTGGGGGCCCCTCCCCACCCCTTCCACCTGCAGTGCCCCTCCCCCACTGTGGAAATGGGGTTGGAGTGCGGGGGCTTGCCCCAACCCCACCCCCCGCCCAGTGCTCCTGCCGGGAAGTGGGGTGTGGGCGGGGGGGCTTCCCCGGCTCCCCAGCAGGACAGCAGGGCAGGACATGCCCTGACCCTGCTCCCCGGCAGGATCACCGGGCGGGGTAGAGCGGGCCAAGACCCTGCACCCCCACTCCGCTCCCTGGCAGGAGCGCTGGGCAGGCGGGTGGATCAGGTTGGAGTGTGGGGGCACCCACTTTTCTGTGGCCCCTGGGCATAGGTCCCATTGGCCCAATGGCTAATCTGCCACTGTATAGACACCATTCACAAACTATGGACTATATTGTAAATCGGTGCCCACGTCGATTGTTTACTAGCAGCATCTCAGACTCACACCAAGAAACTTCTGGAGCTACCTCCCCACTGGCTCACTAATGCTGACATGGTGATTTGAACGTTGCTAATCATTTTTCTTTGCCGTACAGAAGAGGAGGAAGAAGAATCTCCTGCTCCTGGATCTCTCCAAAACTAAAACGTTCCCATCTCTGCCAGGCACCTCTTTATCCCTCTGTCTAGGAAGGGCTTGAGAGAGGAAAAAAATGACTTTCTATTGTAACCTCAGAGTCAGCAAATTTTGATTTTAGTAAACTAAAATGGGAAGTGACTTCCATAGTAGAAGACCCCTCACTGAAAATACCTTGCCTCCAACTTTGCTATATTAGTATATGTGGAAGTGTAACTTTATTGATATAAGTAATCCTGTTGACTTCAGTGTGACAGACCACTCAGAATAAAGTAACACACATATGTAAAACATAAAACAGAATTCTCCAGCCTGGTCATATATGATTTTTGGCAGGTATGATGGTCCGCTGGGACTGAAAGACTCTTACATGCTACATGGGGCACATAAATTATGAGGAGAGGCTGAGGGAACTGGGCTTATTTAGTCTGCAGAAGAGAAGAGTGAGGGGGGATTTGATAGCAGCTTTCAACTACCTGAAGGGGGGTTCCAAAGAGGATGGAGCTAGGCTGTTCTCAGTGGTGGCAGATGACAGAACAGGGAGCAAAGGTCTCAAGTTGCAGTTGGGGAGGTCTAGTTTGGATATTAGGAAACACTATTTCACTAGTAGGGTGGTGAAGCACTGGAATGGGTTACCTATGGGGTGGTGGAATTTCCATCCTAAGAGGTTTTTAAGGCTCAGCTTGACAAAGCCTTGGCTAGGATGATTTAGTTGGGGACTGGTCCTGCTTTGAGCAGGGGGTTGGACTAGATGACCTCCTGAGGTCTCTTCCAACCCTAATCTTCTATGATTCTATGAATACCAGAGTTTTCAAATAAGTTAAATTGGGCTGAAAACTCCCATAGCCATTTTCAATATCATTGGCTCTTAGCCTTCTGAAAGAGACTGACTGATTGGAATTTCAGTGGTGGGGTTATCCAAAAGTACACTCTGACTACAGGTGTACAAGCTATTTCAATTCAGTTATCACTATGCACCCTTCTCTCGTGCCAGTGTTTCAGAGCCTCATTGTGCCATAGTGACACCTGCTGGAAAAATTCTGAACACCAGCCCTTATCTGGCCTCAAGGCTGCAACCCAGCGAGGATAACTCTTGCATCAATAACATTCACCAGCATGTTTGATTTGGGATCCTTCAGATTCCCGTAGCCAGTTAACTCATGCAGGTTCTTGAGCATTTACATTTCAGATGTCTGATGAGAATGAGCAATTCTCTTTTATTGCATTTATTTTCTGATACGCTGTCACCTCTAATATGTTGTTTCTAACGAGTGTAGGAGGATGTGTGAGAAGCATTGCTTCTCCATGCCCATATGTGATATCAGCTATGGGATATACAGCGCCCAATTCTTCCTGCAGTTACACAGGTGTAATGAGTTATATCTGTACAAATGGGCTCTTAGATTTTACTTCCTCCTTTTCAGACAACTCAGGCTGCTCTGCATTGGCAGGAGCCTGAGAAAAGACCTTCGCTTTTGAAAAGTAGGTGAACTCCTTGCCTCTTTGTCTGGGTACAGCCCTTGCCTATTCAAGTAAAACGAGAGCCAGAGGAGACGACCCTAAATGTGCAGTTCCCAGAGCTTGTATTGCTGCTTTTGTTTCCTCCACAGTCTTGCGCTTCTGTTCGTTAATAATTGCTCTTCAATTTCCTCTTTTTTTTCCTAGGCAAGGGATGGATTTATAGACCGTTTCTCACCACGGCGAAGAGGTGAGCGTGTCTGAGAAGAAGGGAGATATGCCCCTTACGGGAAGATATCGAGTGCCTTATGTCTTGATTCTTCTTGCACTCCTCTGGGGTGGAGAGAGAATTCGGGCACAAAGAGCAGGTATGTACTGATGCTCCTGGGACAACCTAGATTTTTACTTTGCTTGGGACATTACGCTTGTAGAAAAAGCTAGCAATGCAGCCATCCTTCCAAATATCATAAGCAGACCTCAAGGAGAGAGGGTAGCTTAGTGCTGCAAAAATCTGGACTTCGTTAGAATCCTATAACCACTACAGGACCAGGACCTACAAGGGTTAGTTCAGACCTTCAGTCTTGCAGGCTAGACTGAGTTGCATGCAGTTTACCCTGTACGGGCATGATCCAAACCCCACTGAAGGCAGTATCAGTGTTTCCATTGACTTCAATGGGCTTTGAATCAGACCTTCAGGGTCTTTCAGATGATACCGTAAAAACTCAAGTATCAGAGGGGTTGCCATGTTAGTCTGGATCTGTAAAAAGCAACAGAGAGTCCTGTGGCACCTTTAAGACTAACAGATGTATTGGAGCATAAGCTTTCGTGGGTGAATGCCCACTTGCGTCTGCCACAGGACTCTCTGTTGCTTCTTAAAAACTCAGATATCCTGGCCTTTTCCACAAGAGACGGGGCCCTCTGGTGTCCTTAGCTAATTTTATACTAAAATGAGAGGAAACTGTAGCCATCCCCCTCAAACACAGTAGCAGGCTGCTCTGAGTGTATGAACTATAGATGTAGTTTGTGCAACACTTTTTGGGGTGAAAGATGCTATATAAATGTACATTTTTATCATTAAATGAGCAAATAATTAGTAAAAAAAAGAATAAACATCATCTCTTTCTCTGTTTGCAAATCGCCCACAAACAGGTTATGATGGTAACAAACTTATTGGTTTGTTGAGCAAAGAATTTCAGTATTAATTCTGGGCCTGTCGTTTGTCTGTGAGCTATTTTGCTTGGAGATGGGTCACATGGAAAGATTCTGTTTGCTGACTGAATGGCCCCTCACCCTTAGAATCATGTTTCCATTGACCATGTTTCCTGTTAATAATCCATTTCTTTCAAATGAGTTGTCTCTGCCAGTAAACGGTTTTGTTAAAATATTCTTAGAAACAAGGAAAAGATTCTCTGTGCAGTGGAAAGGAATATGTTTGAAGATCTGGACCAGTGTTCACTGAAAACCTTTTGCAGCATTTGCTTTGCTCTGTCAAGTATATCAACAAAGAATCACTGATCCATGAAGGATTAGCTGTGTTAAACACAGGGTTTTCTTGTATTAATTCCTGAATAAACCTCACTGTCTTTACCCCAACAACCTTGTGTTGTGGACAGTCACCCCTGAATGGAGAAGGGATTCTGTCTCTCTGCTCTATATGGTTTTAAATTACACTTACTATCACCTGCTGAGATGTGCTAAAAGAAGGAACATGCACAGACATTGCTGAATATGTTTAAACCTTTTGTGTTCTTCAGTTAGCTCTGCTTAATCCCTTTTTGTCCAGACAGAATAGATTAAGGATGCTGGACTTTTCCCGTAGCCTTTAGAGCTGAGGACCAGTTTGGTTGAACTTTACAGTTAAATGACACATAATGTCTGTCTATTGGGCGGGGAACGGAGCAGAACTAAACTCGGCATTCTGACTGAGATACATGCACATAGCTTAATCGGTGTCTCATAGCATAGAACCCACATGTTCCAGCCAGAATGCACCCTCAACTCATTTTGTGAGAGGTATATTATGTTTGTCCGCTCACATAACGATTGATTGATTATTGGCTGTTCGGTGTTCCAGGCATGCCCAGATACACCCAGCCATTCAACAGGTGAAGTCTATCAGCTGGACACCGTTAGCAGGGTGGTCGTTCATATGGCTCCAGGAATGTGCATGGTGCTGTACAGAGATGATGTTCCATAAAATGTTCATGGTCAACAGCAGAAGAATAGGTTCAGAGGCGTTCATCTGCAAAGGGGTTAACACTAGTGATCGGTGACCCTCACAAGGGCTTGTTCAGATAAGCACAGGAAATATGGGATCCTGTGACCTGTGTAAACACTCTACCCTCTATCGTACAATCCTGGGAGCTATCTTCTTCCCCTCCAAACACTGCCCTTCTAGCCCTGCAATAGGATCCTACCACAAGTCATCTTCATGTGTCTGGGCAACCTCCCAGTAGAGTTGGCTTCTTTGGGACAGCTGAGTGGCATATCTTTCCCCCCCCCTTAGCAGATCTGCACTCCTCCATGACTCCCACCACCAATGCAGGAGCACAGAGCGTGTTGCCCAGATGACCCCTGAAGATGACTGGCCGCACTTGGGAATTCCTTCCTGTGGGGTACCCTCAAGCCCTTTCACACAACCCCTCCGGGGAAGAGCTGAGGGGGGGGAAAAAGGAAATTAGCTGTTGCCACCAGCTAATTAAACAACATGTGCACAAACCTCTTAAGACACAAAAATCCAATTCTGTTCTTTAAAAAAGATAAATTTTAATAATTAAAAAAAGAAAAAAAGAAAATGCATCTGGGAACTCAGGCTACTGCTAGATTTTAAGAGTAACTACAAGGATTAAGCACCAAGAATAACATTCTTGAGGTCCAGCTTAAAGGTTACATGCAAAACAAAAGCAGCAGGGTTAGCACAGAGGAATCCACAAGCCATAAAGAAATAAAAGGGATAAACCTAATCACATCTTCCGGGACATTTCCTGGTCTACTTGCATATCTGGGGTTTTAAATGAGTAGTTTCTAGGTATGATACTGATGATTTTTTTTCATACTTGGCCCAAGCTTCTTACAGCATAGTTCTGACCTGTCTGCCTTTCCCCAGGAGAACAACAACAGACCAACAAAAGGGGAATCATTTTTCAATTTTAAGAAGTTCTAGCCTTCCGATTGGCTCTTTTGGCCAGGTGCCCACTCCCTTCCTTTTGCCTATGCATAGCAGTGAGACTTTTTAAGCCTTTACAGGTAGAGCAAGTAGAGAACAGCTACTAAGAGGGATTCTATAGCTACTGGCTGGCTGGGTGTCCATAAAAGGGAGCTACCTTCCCCCCTTCATTCATCACAAGGGTTATGGGATGGTTTTCTAGCAGGCACCTGGTTGGGTCTGCTGTGTACAGTAGCTGGGTTCAGGGCTAGACTACAGTGTCAGTTGGTCTGAAGGAGGCTGTTACAGCAGCATCTGTGGATCAGCAGGATATAGGAAAACCCTGGCCCCTTAGCTCTGACTCTGCAGCAGGGGGAGAGGTGGCATCGGAGCTACCACGCCAGCTCTTCAGCCCCTACATGCCTCTATTCTGAGGTGTTCTTCCCATGGCAGGTTATTCTGGCGCTATGGGCCCATTTTGGCAGCAGGGCGGCACTTGCACCTCCCTGGAGGATCTGGGGCTATGACCTTCCCATTACATTAAAATAAATGACATTTGTATAGCAGCTTTCATCTCGAAGGATGACTTAGCCCTTTATGAACTCACACATACATTCATCACTGATAGGGACAGTTCCCACCGAGTGGCACATTCTGATTATACCTTGTGTCGTCTGTCCTCCCCCACCCACTGGCCTTTTTGTGGTTATGTAGCATATTGGCTTGCAAATGCTCAGGCAAAGCAGGAAAAAGTGATAGGCTCTCCTTGAAGGTGGCTGCGAAATATACTACCAGTCTGGCTTCCCGGTGCAAGAAAATGGCAATTAAAATGTGTTGTCCTTTTGGATTACACAGACTTCAGATTATGAATATTTCAACTGAAGACAAAAGGCTGGTTGTGGGGGTAGGGAAACACTTCCTTTGCAAAGGAACTGTACTTTGTTGTCAAGGAAGCCATGCTACTATTCAAGGAATCGTCCCTTAGTCAACATACACTGGCAAACAGACTAAGAATAAAAATAATCTTGTTATAAACTTGTCTCCCCGAGACATTGTGGAGAGGAAAATAGTTGCTTGTAGCTAAGCATAAATAAATTAACACTATCATTTGAGAGGGAACATGGAAGCTTCACTATTCAAGGTCAAGGTTGGCACCGGCATGGTCAACACAGATCTCTTGAGCCGACAATATATTTTCAATGCGCTGCATTGGAAGTGGGAATGGAAAAGGGATTGCTGATGTTTTTAAAAGAGAAGAGCAGCCTCATATACATGCAGACAGTGTAGGCAAAAGGATTGTGTGGAGACAGAGCAAGCAGAACAGGAAAGGAGAGGATTTGAATTCAAAGTAACAGAGGTGTCCAGATCTACTATAGATCTCCCAATGTTGATGAGGGGGAAATCACAGGGAAGAAAGACTGAAAACTTGTGCTCCCTCTCTGGGACAAAGAGAGAGATGCCTCCAGCACTGAGTCAGTACACTGAATAGATATGACTAGAGAGGTTGAGGGATGTGTGATGCTCCTCTTCCAGCTTCTCTTAGCAGTATCTTCCATTGCGCCTACAGGTTGCAAGAATGTCCACTATGATCTTGTCTTCATCTTGGATACCTCTTCCAGCGTGGGTAAAGAAGATTTTGAGAAGGTCCGCCAGTGGGTGTCTAATCTGGTGGAGACCTTTGAGATCGGACCGGACAAGACCCGTGTAGGAGTGGTACGTTACAGTGACAGGCCAACCACAGAGTTTGACTTGGGAAGGTACCAAACTCGTGAGGAAATCAAAAAAGCTGCAAGGAACATTAAGTATTATGGGGGTAACACAAATACCGGGGATGCCCTCCGGTATATCAATACCTATAGCTTTTCCAAAGAGGCTGGTGGGAGGCCTAGTGACCCACCCATTAAGAAAGTGGCTATCCTTTTGACTGATGGAAGGAGCCAGGATTATGTCATGGATGCAGCCACTGCGGCGCGTAAGGCTGGAATAAGGATCTTTGCTGTGGGAGTTGGTGAGGCCTTAAAGGAGGAATTGGATGAAATTGCTTCCGAGCCTAAATCTGCTCATGTGTTCCACGTCTCTGATTACAATGCCATTGATAAAATACGAGGGAAACTGAGACGACGGCTCTGTGAAAGTAAGTAAAGACATTATTACTGTAACAAAAAGAGAATTGTAATAGAGTAATCCTTGCGTGGCTGTGAAAGTCCTATACAGATGCTCCTTCATTCTCGTTTGTTTGTAACTCTGGGTCCTGTTCTCTTTCTCTCCCTCCATATTCATTGATCCATCCATCCAATAGTGTCCTGAATTTTCCACTTTTTAAGAAGCCACTTTACTGCTGGTGGCAACCATGGTCTATTTACTTCTGGGTTGTATGGGCCAAAGCAACATTAAAGAAGGGTCAACTTCCAGTGGGATCAAATCGGAGAGGAATTTATTTATATATATATAATTTTTTTTCTGGAAATGGAAATTATATATAAAAGTCAGTCTCTATCTAGATTCTATTTTTGTTTTGATTTGACTCATTTGTGCATTATGTAGTGGCCCACTGGAAACGATTTGATTTCTTACACTCTGTATCCAATGTATTCTTACGTAGAATTGAAGTTTTATCTCATCTGAATTTGGTTGCAGCATCCTATGCAGCCTATGTATGGGGTGGGGTCTGGTTCCTTACTGTGCGGTCATTAGACAGTAGAGTGGAGTAGGGTTAATCCATCACTAGGCAGCAGCACTGGAAATAACCATTCTGAAGCCAAATGAGATTTAACCTGAGTAAACACTTTGTGTGGGGTGCCCAACGGAGGCATTGCTGTGCCTGATATGCTCTGCTATGACTGGTATCCCAGCTCTTTAGCTGGAAAAGCAGGCACCACCCATCCGTGGCCCACACGTAGGGGCTCCCAGCTACTGGGTCCACATACACCCGGTTGGCTTTGTGTTCAAGGTATTTAAGGTTGCTATGTGTCCTAGAAATGAAACTCATGAGACTGCCCTGCATTGTGTGGTCTGAGTTTGCAGTCTCTGTGTGGCACTGTGACATGATGGATGGTGATGTCCCTTCTCCCCATGACGTTGTGTCATTGTGTGCTGATAACCCAGCATTGTTGTGGACTGAATCAAACATGGCATAATGTGTTGTGACATTGATTCATTATTTGACTTCAATTTATAAACGTTCACGTGCACAGGCACTAATCACACCATAGAATGGAATCATGCTGGATGTCTGCTAGATGTAGTGTGGATCAAAGATGTTTGTTCTCCTTACACTAAAATAAATCTCTGACGGTCTTATGCCTCTAGGGTTCCAGAGAGATGGGAACAATTATCCTCTGCCATGCTGTATGTAACACTGGATATGCCCAGAGAACATGCTGCAGCTATACATTTTGATGTACCCAGAGTGGCTTGATGTTGCATTGAAATATGTGCCAATTCCAGTAGAAAAGTTTCTTAAAACTAGTACTTGCAGAACATATTACCATTTGGGTCTCTCTCCGCTTATCAAGGAGTCATTTGCCCATTTTACCAGGTGGAATGTTATCTTCTTATGGCATTCTGATCGCAGACTAGGCCCACAGTACATGTATGTAACACCTGCTTAATTAAAGCCCAGGGAATTATGAAAGGCCTATAGCTTTTCATCCTGAGGGCTGGGACTGACACTGCTCAGAACTATCTGCTTTCATCTGCAGGAATGACTTGGATGGGGAGAAAGGACGCATCCTGAAGTGTGGATGAAGAGCAGGGGTTTAGGGTTATTAAACATAGGGAACTTCTTGGGGAAGGGATAGATTACTAAATTAGTGGGTTGCTTTCTACATTAGACCAATGGGATCCAGACTGCTGGTAATGACAGTTAGGAGGGTCGAAGGGGGGACATTGTTAAAACTAGGAGCTAATGGGAACCATGCAACTGTCAGGGCAGGACACCGGTTGGACAATCAGATCTGCTAAAGACATCAAATGACGAAGTGAAATTAAGACTTCAGGAGTGTGGGATAGGACAGTGACTACTGATTGGGCTGGGGGAAGGGCAGTCAGGGTGAAAGAAGCAATGGCTGAATAATGCAGCAAAGTTTCAGCAAACACAGGTCTATGCAAACCAACTCGGCTTGCCACGATGATGTATTGCCTCTTGCTATGGCTGAACTGATCTTGCTATATTATTTAATGAATGAAATATTTAGGGTCAGATTAGAGCTAAACCCCAAATAAATCTCCCAATGGGCAGAGCAATTTGAGATTGAGAAAACTAGCGAGAGAGGCTATGGAGGTATCACCAAAGGAGGCAGCAAGACAGAGATCAGGTAGCTTTCTTAGGGTGAATAATGTAGGGGAGAACTGGTGTTTACAGGGGGAGGGTGTAGGGACAGGACACATGCTTGGAATGAAAGGGAATGGTGGAGCTGTAATTTCTGCACTCTACTGGCCAACAAAGATTTTTCTCTTCCAGCCCTAACTCTTAGCATACTATATAAATGTGAGGATCAGCGCAGTGGTGCAGATCCTGAGGTTTGTGGCAGCAGCTGCTCCAGAATAACTTGTCACTTGTCTCTGGGCGCACTGGATTTCCGTTTTGAACTTTCATTATTCCTTGCTATATCAGACTATGATTTATCATTGCGAGTGAGTCACCGAGTGCATTAATAATACTTTAGGCTTGATCTGATACTATGGAAATAAACATTGCACACTTGAAAATAATACATGCGCTCAGCAGACCCTGGGTCAGTGGCTGATATTTTTACCAAACTATTCCATTTACATTCTGGACTAGAGTTAGCTGACCAACTTGGGCGACAGCTTTGCCGATGGCAGGAGGAGACGTATTGCTGTACAGATTCCAGGGATGTTCCATGGGTCTTCACCCTTTCAAGATAGCGTTTACATGTGTATGATTTAGCGACAAGAGCAGGCAAATATGGAGACTATAATGGCAATATGGTGCCAATATATCTTTGATAGGTGAGTGGTAGGGTGAGTGGAATGCTTTTCAGAGGGAGAATGTAGCTCCCATTAGAAAAACTGCAGGTGTAATCCACACACCTCCTGGGTGTGGTGTTCTGTCCCATCTAGTGGCACCGAGACCACTTGGAGAGAGATTGTGTCTGCTCTACAGCCTTAGTTAAGTGTCATGTGACTTTTAGCTCTTGCAGTAAAGGCTCATGCATTTAGCTCCAGAGGTCCCAGGTTTGATCCCGCCTGCCAACAACCTGGGTCTGTCGGGGTTGCCCAAGGACAGAGGCTGACTAAGGTTGGGAAATGCTCTCAATTGAGATTTAGGACTGCAGGGGGTGGACCATGGAAATACCCAGACCGTTGGGGCTTCTTTCCTAAAGTAGCCAGCACTAGTTACAGCCAAGGGCGCAGAGGGTTGGTCAAGGCCTTCCACTTTAAGAACCACTCCTAGGCCTCAGGAGAACTTTCTTGCCTTTCAAAAGTTCTTTGCCTCTCTGGGGGCATGCGGACCAGTCCACAGTTCACTCCCATTTTCCTCAAATAGCTGTACCTTTGAAATAGGCATGTTTATTGCTCGGTTAACTGCTGCTCGCTATGATGTAAAGGGCAGTAGCACAACCTCAGTGGCTCTCATCTCTCCTGCTCTCAGATGCTTGGCTGTGTCTGACTGGAAACAGCGTGGCTGAGCCAGCAATAGAGGGGCAGCAAGTTGTATCCTGGTGTGCAGCATAGTTACGGATGCTCCTTCGTTTCCTCCAAGCAGTCTGTTGTGGATTTTGCAACAGGGCAAATTCTCTTCTCCGGGCTAATGCTTGCTCTGCTGGAAAACCTCAACATTGGAAGGTGATTTTCCCTTTCCCTGGGAAGCTACTCACACTGCAATGAAATGGTCAGCTGTGATCCTTCTGAAGTCTTGGGGCAGTCAGGATCCGACTGCTGTGAGCCCCATTTCTCTTCCTTGGTGTTCAAGGAATAGAGGGTTTGATTCTAATGTTGTTTACATAGCATAGATATGGAAGCGTCTCCATGGAACATGTTAGTGGTGTAACTGAGGGCAGAATAAAGTTTGAGCTCTGGCCAGATTTCTGGGATCTTTACAAGGGACACTTTAAAGGCAGCGTTTCAACCTATAGAAAATGAGTGATTAAATCTCTTGCATTCTCCTTGCCCTTCTATTGGTTTAGTACCCTTATTTATTTTAAAATAGTCACATACAAATAACAGCAACATAAAACACTGACAAATTGCACAAAGGATTAAAAAAAAAAAACCCCAAAACCAAAGCCCTCAGCTATTACACCTCTTCACTCTCAGTACTGCTTCAGCAAGCTCATGTTCTTCTCACCGGCACCATGGTGCATCTCCTTCTAGTCTGCGATTTCTGTCTCACAGCTCATGTGAGAAACCACACTAAACAATGTCTAAATTACAAGAAAAGGCAGAAAAAATAAGTCCTAGACACTGGAAAGCAACATTTGAGATCATCAGAAAATGGATGAGTCTCAGATGCAGGAGAAATGACATCCTATGAACAAGCAACGTGCAGCTTAGAGAAAAGAAGGGGGAAATATATGGTGAATATGGGAGCCATTTCTAAACTGCGGAAGATTGAAAAAGAGAAACCGAGAAATAGAACCCGACAAAGCTGGAACATATTGTCATGCGCTGGAAGTCATTAGTGGCTTGTTTTTCAAAAGCGGTGCGCACCTGCCGCTTTCCTTGATTTTATTGGAGCTGTGGGTGCTCCACTCGGCTGAAAATTTAGGCTGTAGGGGCCTGATGCAAAACTCACTAAAATCAATGGGAGTCTTTTCATTGACTCCAATGGGCTTTAGATCAGGCCTTAAAGAAAGGCCACTTATCCTCTGGGTGATATTATCTTTTTTGGTGTTTACTTGGTGAAGGACAGATGAGGAACAGTCTGCAATATACATGTGGCAGGATGAGGCTCTGAGCAGCTGGCTAACACTCAGCAGGAATGCAAGTGAAGCACAGAAAAAACTCTCTGGGGTTTGAGGTTTATTTATAGGCTTTTCTGGTGCAAACAAAATAGCTTAACAGAGAATCTCACCATGTTCCCTTCAGGCAGCTGAAGAGCCTTGAAATACCAAAACAATATGTATAGGGCAGATCTTGTGTATCTAGCGCTTCCTCTCCTGGCTTCCA